CATCATCTCAGAGGTTGCAATATTTATCTCCAAAGTTCTGTAAGATTTTTGAATGTGAACTTCTTTTTGACATTTTTTCATTTTTCATAACCAGTGTATCTGAAAAAACTAATAAAAAGAAACATAAGAATTTCTCTATCTTGGAACTATTGATGTTTGGGGTCAGATAATTCTTTGTTCTGGGCATTATGTTATGCCTTACAGGATGTTTGGCAGCATCTCTAGCCTCTACCCACTAGATCCCAGTAGCATAGTCTACCCTTACCACTGTGACAACCAAAAGTGTCTCCAGACATTGCCAAATGTCTCCTGGGGAGGGGTGTTACAATTACCCTCAGTTGAGAACCACTTTATGAGTTATTTTAAGTGTCAACATCCTTTTGGAATTTTGGAAGTCAACATGGGAACTTTCCATGTAAAGAACCAGATGGTAAATATTTTAAGCTTTTTGAGCCACACAGTCCCTGATGTATGGTCTTGCTTTTATTTTGTTTATAATCTTTAAAAATGTACTAATACATTCAAGCTCAAAAATTGGCTGGAATTTGCTAATCCTTACATTGTAAAAGAAGAAATGATGGTAATTCCAGTAATGATCAGAAGTGTTGATACAGTTTTTGGAAAAACTTGGAATTTGATATAGCTGCCGGGTCTTTGTGACACCAAGCTAAGCAGTCAAGCTGCCCTTTTTGCAAAGCCTGAAATTGAATATCTCCAAGTTAAATTCTATTAATTTTGTTTGCAATTTAATTCTATCTAATGTATTTGAACATAAAAGGTTTAAATAAAACAGGACCTTGACATTTGAACACGATGACATTCTCTAATATGTGGAAGAACATCTGCTTAGTGAGGACGTGTCCTTCCCTTGGTTCAGAATTAAATGTCCTGAGTTCTGAAGAAGAGGGTATTGTTCAAACAAAATGTTCCTATCCAACTGTAAAAACGAAATATGCTTTGATATGGCTACAGAGGTTATCAAGGAAAGGAAACTGGTGTCTTGGAAAGAGAGAAGCCTAAAAACTGACTGTTACTCATAAAATAAAAATTTCACTTAAAATACCTTCCAAAGTAGTTTCTAAAGAATTTTTTCTACCCATCAATAAATGTTTTAGTAAACTAGGAGAGGTCCATTCAACAAGTATTTATTGAATAGTTACTATGTGCCAGGGATTGTATGAGGCCCTAGACTTGAACCCACCTGGAGCCTGCAAATGAACAGCACTCTAACAGGTAACAACTATATTCAGTCATCCAGTAATTTTTTTCCAGTAAAATATTTTATTTTTGTATACTGTTGATTACAAATATCTAATGCTTTACTTTGGGCATTTGTATTTTCTGTATGTAAATTTTCATCAACACCAGTCAGAACAAGCCAAGAAAATATCCTTATTATTCAATTATGAATGTTGGGACAACAACATGAAATGGGATATTTGACTTTGGTCAAGTGTACTTTCCTTGGATAACAAAATATATATTTTAAATCATTCAAGTAGTTTATCGTATGAAAAGCAGCAAATTATAGTGAAAAGAGTATGGGCTTTGAAGTCCAAAACCCTGCGTGGGGACCTGGGTCTGTCCTTTTTCCATGGACAAATCAGTTAACTTTTAAGAAGTACATTTTTCATCTGCAAAATGGGATACTTTCCCTGGCACATCATACTTAAACATACTGTATGTTTATTACCTATAGAGTGTTTTAAAGGCGATAACATTATCATAAGAACTCAGCTACACTGATTCTTCATTCTATGTGGATGATTCTGGGATAAATCAAGTATTGTGTTTGTCACAGCTCAAATCAATAATCAATGGGATCTTCCTATACTTTATTTTTATGTGATCATGAAAAAATATCCATGAAAGCTTGTGAGACTCTACTTTGAAATTTTTCCCTGAGCCGAACACCACAGGTTTTCTGTTAAAAGTTATAATGAGCTATTTAATTTTCTAGTTAAATGAAGACTTTTGAAGATCAACATTTCAAACATTAATGGCTGAGCCCTTAGCAGTGACCATCAGGTTCCATCCACTTTTGCCCCAAATTATATCTTTGGCCCGAAGCCTTCAGAGGAAAGCATTGTAGAAAGATTCACTCCCTACGTAATCAAATTCTATAAAACAGAGTATGGTAATCATGTCACTAGCACAAATCTGAGATCCCACCTTTGAACCAGGACAGTGAGATTTGCAAAAATAGATTTTTTTCTGTGCTACTCTCAATTACGTATTTAAAAAGTCAATGTGGCTTTTCAAATTTTTGTCATTATCCTCGCTCAGTCTATTTTTAGTCAGCAAGTATCTGCACTAATACCCCAAGGAGGATCACCTTCACTGGATAGGAACAGCCCCAAAACATGAAAAGCAAGCATTATGCTTGAAATACCCTACACAAACCTACAGGTTTCTTCCTCCAGTTTGATAGTCCCGAGAAAGCCTCAGCTACTGCTTAAGAGCTGCCCACTTCATTTTACCCTGAATGAGATGCCACAAAACCAGCAGGGGCTATTTGGTATCGTGTAGGTGTTAAGTGTTGGCACTAACCTTGATGCCAATAACCATGTATCAGAATAACACTAGTTACTACAGTAACAGTGACTCTTTCACTCAAAACACCTTTCTTAAAGGACAAGTCATGTCTCTAAATGGAAAAAGAGAAAAAAGTGCTTACTCCCACACTTCACATTACCATGACTACTGAAGGTCCATTTTCCTATCCCCCTGCTCCGTACCTACCAAAATAGAGTTAGATGTTGGGGGGCATATAATTGAAATTCGAAGGTTATTCTCTAGAGTTCATAAATTTGGGTTTTTAATAAGCTGTATGAACTCATTTGACCAGAGAGCCATCTGAGAGAAACGAGTTCTGATCATTTTTTGGCTTGGTTTTGATTTCATACAAACACCTAGACCATGAAAAACCACCCCATTTCTTAAAACAGTCCACTGACTCCACAACTGTCATTTAAAGTTGCTCTTTGGGGTAAGGGGCTCCCTCTCTCCAGTCCCAACCTTTGCTGAACTGATCAAAATCAAATAAGAAGAATCCAGTTGAACTCAATGAGGAAAAAAAACAAAAGAATCCAGTTGAAAGAGATCTGATGTGCTTGTTGATGTCTCATTAACCTTGAGAGTGAATGTAAATGGTGACTGCTCCTCTCAATGGGGTGATAATTTGTTAGGGGAAAAAAGCCGGTGGAAACATCTCAGGGAAAAAAATCCAAAGAGAAACAGTATTTAATAGATCATTTATCAAAAAATGGGACATTTCCAACTGTCAGGGTTGGCTAAATTATAGTTTCCTTAAGCCTGTGATGAATCTACTTACTACTTGTTTTCTTGGGAAAGAATTTGGAACAGTATTTATCTGTGTGTCAACATATGTTCACAAGTATTAAAAAAAACACTCCAATGTTGGAAGTATAATCAAGAGAAAAGTGAACATCTCAGGATTAACGTTAATAAGGTTCTACCATAAGTAAGTATGTGTGGTGATTTGTGTGCCATGAAAAACATCATGAGCCACACTCAATGTGGAAGGTTTTAATTCCATTGAGTTTCCAGCCAGATTCCCCTCTTTACTAATTGCTGACTGATAACATGTCAACAAACATAGGGAGGAAAATAATAGAGGAAAATTAGCTTGTCTCTAGGGATAAACCATTACCTGGAGAGAAAAAGAGAGGAAGAGCTCCCCAGGTTCACTAGCAGAATCTTCTTGGGCATAAGTAGACCGGAAATCTAATTCGCTTCCAGTCCCAGATCTAGACCAGAGACCCAAATAAAACCAGCATTTTCCATTCCTGGGCACCAAAGCCCTAGCTGGGACTGGTTCCTGTCTGCTCTCTCCAGAGGAGAACCTGAAGTAAACAAATCCACAATCCCCAACGGGCATTGAAACATTCGGATGAAACATTCTCACCTAGGTTCCCCTTTCTCTCCCATGCTCTCCCCTTCTCCATCTCTAGGCTTCACTTTTCTGGTTTCCTTTGGAACTTCTTGAAAGTTATCACCATTAACTTCACTTTTTGCATCAAATTCCCACCTCAGGCTGATGGCACAACCGATTTCTGCTATTGCCACCCTCTAACCAGCTGCTCTGTTTCCTGTGCTCTGCTCAGGGCGACCCAGCCCAGCTTCTGCCCTCAGCCTCCTGGCTCTGCCCCTCACTCTAAGCTCAAATGCACCAAGTCAAAGTGGATCGATTGGTTCCCTCTCTTCTTAAAGAAGTTTTTGCATCTCAGAGAAGCTATCGTGAAACGCGAAATAACTGCGAATCCCACACATGTCCTACCTAGATATGGCTACCTTGCTGGGGAGGAAAGGGCAGCAGGGCAGTCAGTCACTGTCCTCATCAGGGACTACACTTTTTTTTTCTGGGTGAGTGGGAGGCATTTTCCCCACTGTACAGTGTCCCATTCCTCTGCCCCCTACCCACCCCCAGCAGCCTTTCCCCAAAATACTTCGGGGGACCAGAGGAAGGGAGGAAAAAAAACGGGACAGAGGAGCGGTTCTCTACCCCCCCCCC